CTCGACATCAACAAAGCTTCTGGTCCGGACTTGATTCCTGCCATTGTACTGAAGAGATGTGCAGCTGAGCTTGCTCCAGTTCTTTCGCGTCTCTTCCAGATATCTTATGAATCCGGCACCTTCCCAGAAAACTGGAAATTTGCTCATGTACAGCCCATCCCAAAAAAAGGATCTAAAACCGACCCTTACAACTACAGGCCTATAGCTCTGCTTTCTGTTATAAGTAAAGTGATGGAGAGGTGCATAAATCGCGAGCTTCTGGACTACCTCGAACGTCACAGCTTGATTAGCGACAGGCAGTACGGTTTCCGGCACCAACGATCCACAGGGGACCTCCTAGCTTACGTCACGCAACTGTGGAGTAAACTCATCCAGTCTCATGGTGAGGCTCATGTCGTTGCTCTTGACATCACGAAAGCGTTCGATCAGCTGTGGCACGCTGCCCTCTTGAGCAAACTTCCATCCTACGGCCTCCCAGAAAAGCTTTGCAGATGGGTGGCTGACTTTATCTCTGGCCGCAAGATATCCGTCGTAATTGACGGATTCTCCTCTTCATCCCACAACGTCAACGCGGGTGTTCCCCAGGGATCGGTCTTGGCTCCAACACTGTTTCTCTTACATATCAACGACCTCCTTTCCTGCACGATCAACCCAATCCACAGCTTCGCTGATGACAGCACTCTACATGCAGGAATTCAGAGTGACAAGCCGATCTCTGCCGCTGAGCTGGAAAAAAGAAGACTAGCGACGACTTCTTCTCTGACAAGAGACCTGGAGGCTATCACTGCTTGGGGACGCAACAATCTTGTACAGTTCAATGCTTCCAAAACACAGTACTGTACTTTGACGAACAAAAAGCGTCCTAGCGCTCATACAGTTTCGATGGACGGTCGAGTTCTACCAAAGAGCCATTCATTTCGGTTGGTCGGAGTCCAGATCACCGAGGACCTGATCTGGCACGAACACATCTCTTCAATAGCTGCAGCTGCTGGGAAAAAGCTAGGCTATTTGTTTAGGGCTAAGAAGTACTTTTCTCCGCATGACCTTCTCACTCTATACAAGGCCCAGATAAGGCCTAGCCTCGAGTATTGCTCACACATTTGGGGTGCTGCCGCCCCGACTACATTGTCCATGCTCGATGCTGTCCAGAGGAGGGCGGTCCGACTGATCGATGACTCTTCTCTAACAGACAGTCTCGGAACTCTTTCGCACCGGCGGGCCGTCGGCGATCTAGCTCTTTTCTATCGCTACACCAACGGGCTTTGCTCCTCAGAGCTCTCTTCCATGATGCCGCCGCGCGATGTGCCTGCCAGACAGACCCGTCTGACTTCGGCGTCCCATCCTAACCGTGTCAAACTTCGTACATCCAGAACTGGCCGATACGACCGCTCCTTTATCCCGAGGGTGTCTAGATTGTGGAACAAACTACGGGAGGAAGCTTTTCCCAGTTCTACTAACCTTAGGCAGTTCAAAAATCGTATTAACAAAATTTCTTTGGGATCATCATAGCAGCCGCGGTGTTCCGGCATTTAGGCTTCTGCCTGCGCGGCTGTTTCGATATAAAAAAAAAAAAAAAAAAAAAAAATCATCAAGTGGCTTCACGATGTAATGCTCTAATGTTTTTAAATAATTTTTAATCTGTCTTTAACTTGTTCTTGTCATATTTTATATAATTTTGACCATTGTACCATGTATCTAGCTCTCACCATGTTACTGGACGTTTCCCTCATCCTATACGTAAACAACAATTAGCAACATCCTCACATACTACTGTAAGTTGAGTCAATTTAAATTCATTTTACACTTTTCTTGCTACTGTTATCATTGTAATTGCAGCTCCTGATGATGATGGCCAAGTCCATTGAAAGCTAGAGAGAATTAAAAAAGTATAAAGAGTCCTCTTTGCTTAAATTTTGTCGAAGTACCCAACAAAAGGCGGAAGCTTTAATTTTTCACCTAACTGGTCTAGACGACAATGACCACGTCTCAAGTTATATATATATATATACGTGAGCAGTAGTCATTGCCAAAGCCAGTTGGGCACAAAATACAATACTCTATGAATTATGGCAGTATTGAGGTTCTTGATAAAGAAAAAAGACTCTCAAAACGTTTATTTTTAGGAATGTCTCACATTTTCATGATAGATCATTGCATGAATAAAAAGGCTGATGTTGAGCAGCTCAGTGTCATTTATTCCTACCTGTTGAATTGCGAAAAGCTAGAACGGCTACATATCCAAATTGAACCAACATCTTCACAAAATTAGAATACATTTTCTCACTCACATTTTTAATATAAACTGACATAAACCATCTTTTCAAGGTTGTATCAGTATCACACATTCTTACACTCATATGAACTACACACGTTTCTCCAAAACAAGTTAATTCAGCATTTTAGTAATTTTGGGTGGAGGTTTACCGAGCGTCCCTCGTATACTTCATACCCAAAGTTGGACAGGGAGGTTTACAGTTCCACGGTCCGTCGCGTCAATCACTTGTCATCTGTCGACGCTTTATCTTTCCGTGCCGTCCCCCTCTCCACGTGTAGCGGAAGCAGTGTTGCCAGAAGTAGCGGAATTCCGCTACTGGTAGCGGAATTTCAAAGTGGTAGCGGCGTAGCGGCGGAATTGGATTTTTTGTTAAAAGTAGCGGAATTTTGCAATTTAGGTACGCATGATGGATATTTTTACAAGAAAAAAAAATATTGTGCAGTTAGTAACTAAATCTAAATACAGATATCTTTCCAATCGACAGTGGTAATCACCGGTCGGTAATTCTTATTCAATAGAGACACGTATACATGGTAGAAGGTGGTAAGAACACAACCTGTGAAGTGTATTTCCAAAGTATGTCTAATAATTTTAACATTTGTCACATGGTAATGCAGGTGTCGAGTGGACATTCTCGTATATGGAGATAATCAAAACAAACCTTCAACTTTGCTCGCGATACTTATCAAACTGGATACAATACATAAAAATGTTGCTGCTTAGACTTCGAGTTTGGTGAAAAACATTTTAAAAAATACAACAATAATTTATATAGTATAGAGAGAACATAAATGCAACAAGAAGAATCTGATACAGTGACTGAGTTTAAGTAACTCAAAAACTTAATTTTTTTATGCAAAACAGAAATGGCCTTTAGTCATATGCTCTTTATTATTTCGTTTCCTGTGAATTTTTTAATATGACTGCGTGATGAATGTTCTGTTGTTTGACAGTTATTTGTAATATTGTATTGGTTTTTATAGTTAAATGTTTTTTTTATTACAGTTTCTTATGTTATATTTTATCACGCTGTTTGGTTTTAGTTTTTCTTTTTTGACACAACCTGTATACTAAATGCCCCCTGTTTTATGATGCGCATCCCTCCCCCTCCCCCCCCCCGACGATAATTCCCCCGGGTAGCGGAAAGTAGCGGAGTTTTTCGATATTAGTATTGAAATTTTCAATGTGGGCTCTGGCAACACTGAGCGGAAGTAGAAGGTTAGAGACTGCATTCCGATTGTTTCACCAAAATGTTTTCTCACGTGTAATACTTTTTAATCTGTTCGGGTGGATTGATATTTTTAACATGTAACGAAGGTATCTGTCGTTTTTCAACAAGCCCAATGTCCCCGTCCTTTTGTTTTTATACTGATTACAAGTTCGATCTTCTCTACGTTCGTTTTGAAATACCTTGTGGCTGCAACCTCACCGACGAGTAAGTTGTCTGACAATTTAAATCTGTCCTGTTTTCTTTGCTAGCATCACAATTGTGTTTTCAGAATCCTGATAAAGCTCCATAGAGTATGCCGAAAGCTTGATTTTATCGTCAAAAGAGTCAACTTTAGCCTAAAAGATTCGCCAATTTTCCAATTAACTATATATATATATATACAGGGTGACTTCGAAGTTGAGTCATTTATTTTAACAGTGAGTAGATCTGATCAAAAGAAATGTTTTTTTCCTTTAACATTTTTGTGGTAAAATTAAAGTAACAAAGTTATAGCCCTTTAGAAATTTGAGTACCGCCCTGTCTCAATAATAATATTATGTGCTCGTGTTTGGCGACAACGGATATACTCCGCCTTATCGGTTCATCGCATCGGAAACAAAAAAGCGAAAGAATTTGAAACGCTGATCACGATGTTTTTATTCAGTGTGTGTCAGTCGGTAACGCGTGAGTGAATAGTGGTGTTTGCTGCGTGGCTCAAACGAAATAAAAAATGGCACATATTTATGCGAATCGGTTTCCCAATCGAGTGCAACCAACCCCTCGTGCCTTTGTTAATGTAGTACAACGGGCTCGTGAATCAGGTGACTTAAGACCTCACAGGGGACTGCATGCCGGTGCTCCAAGACCTCACGATCAAATACAGGTCCGCACTGAAATACTTGTCAGGAGGATACTTTATAAAACAAGGTAAAAAACTTTTTTATTTTATTTTTACACACATATTTTGGTTTATCTTCCTTCTACAATCATTATCTGAAAATTAATGACTCAACTTCAAAGTCACCCTGTATATATATATAGACAGAGAGAGAGATAGAGAGAAAATGATCATGCGGAGAAAGGTATATAACAAAAAGCAGGAAAATAATGGGCAAAATCCGCAAAAAGGATGAAAGTGGATTTGAGCAGAAAATAGGATAGGTAACCCGAGCGATACGTATTTCTGCTGGTTGGCCCTGTAATGGCCAAAGTTACTTTTTTGTTCTAGATGATACAACAAACATAGTAAAGTAAATGATTACTTTATTGTTTATATAAATCGTAAAAAAGCTGTAAATTTATTGAATTATTTCTTCTGTCAATTGGACAAACCGAAAGTTCCAAAGCTCAAAGCACTAATGCGATGCCGTGGAACGGTTTCGTATATTCGTTCCTTCGGACCCGATTGGACTAAGAACACGGTTTCGGTCCGAATGGATCCCTCACAGTACCCGTTCAGTCGGAACGGGTCGGACTGGAACGCCACAACACTATTCCCTACAAGTGTCATCTTACCTTCGACATATAGCGCTCAAATTATCAACTGGTTGCAACACGCCAGTCGAACTGTCACCTTGGACAATAAAAAATAATTTCGGTCTCACCCTTGCCACCGCATCTTCTATTTCGGATAGTTTCAAAGTGGTGCCAAATTTTGACGATACCGTATTCACAATAGCACCTAAAACAGTGTAAACAATTATTGATAATTAATTCGTGGAAGAGTTCGTGATTTAACAATCGTTCTTTATCAGTCCTCACCATATCTTCGAGCCATATCAGCAGCTCTGTCACCCCATGTGCCCGTTATCGCTATCAAAACGTTCTCTCCCGGTTCCAAAAGATTGCTGAGTACGGCTTCCATTCCTGAATGACCGGTCCCACTTATCGCTAATGTCAATACGTTTTTGGTTTGGAAGGCATACCGGAGGCCTTCTTTGATATCATCCATTATCTTAAAAACAATAAAGCTAAAGTATAATCCTACAACAAAGACTAACAAATAATAGTTTAAAAACATAAAAAAACACGCTTTTATGGTCAAACTTTTTATTCTGAATTGAATTATTCTGTTAATAACTTAGACTTTATTATAATTTTATTTTGAGGACATTAATTATGATTGACTGTTCGATCGTGTAGTATTGTAATAAAAAAATATTTTCTACTTTTTTTAGTTCGGTTACCTATAAAAGCGTGTTTTTTTAAACTATTATTTGTTTTTCATTTTTTAGTTAGATTTATCAATTGGTCCGAAACTGCACGCATGCGCAGATCGCGCGCTAACTTTATCTCTCTTACTCCCCTAAAGAGGATCTATAAAATAAAATATTATTATTATATATTAAACTAACGCCAACTACAGAGAATACCGACTGCTACAAACCAATATAAAAATAAATTTATAGAGCTTGTAAGGCAAACCAAACGAAAACATTACCTAAATAAATTGAATAATAACTTAAATGATCCTAAGCAGCTTTGGACAACTTTGAACTCATTTATTTTGGATAAAGTCGAGCAATGTGAAGTATACACCACTGTTATGTCCTTAAAAAATCGGAAAAGTCCTGGGTTCGATGGTATTAAAAGCGAGCATTTGAAAATTATAGCCGAGGACATAACAGAACCACTCACTTACCTAATCAACAAATGCTTTGAATCTGGCATATATCCCTCAATTTTAAAAAAAGGTAATATGATACCGATACATAAATCAGGAACAAAAACAGATGTTAACAACTATAGACCAATATCAATAATATCCAGTGTAGCAAAGGTTTTTGAAAAAGTTTTATCTACTAGAATGATTCGATACCTCACAAAATTCAAAATTTTAAGTGAAAATCAATATGGATTTACAGAAGGGAAGGCTACATCGGACGCAATAACTAAAATTGTAAATCAAATACATCAAAATATTGATAACAGAATCCCTTCAATCTGCATTTTTGTTGATTTAAAGAAAGCTTTCGACACAGTTAATCACAAATTATTATTAGAGGCATTGGAGAGAATTGGTTTCAGAGGAAACGCGTACTCACTGATCGAAAGTTATTTGTCAAATCGCCCACAATCTGTGCAGATATCAGGATCATTTAGTAAAGAAATGTATATTAAGTGTGGTGTCCCACAAGGAACTGTCTTAGGTCCGCTGTTATTCAATATATATTTAAATGATATTTTCCAAATTAATTGTATTGGCAAAATAACTAGTTTTGCAGATGATATTGCAGTATTATATGAAGGCACTGACTGGTCTGATCTGAAAAATGTAATTGAAAATGATTTTATCAAAATTATTCGGTGGTTTAACAGTAGAAAATTAAGCATTAACTACTCTAAAACACATTTTTTACCAATTGGATCTTATGCTAGACATCTGCCAAATTACACAAATGTCTCCTTCAATATTAATGATCAAAAAATGCAAATTAATAGAGTGCCCAACATAAAATATCTTGGAGTGCTCTTGGATCCTTAATTACGATGGGACATCTATGTCAATTATATTTTAAAGAAAGTTAGGTTTGTATCCTACAAAATTAAATACCTTGGGAATATATTGACAGAAAAATATCTTCGAACATTATACCATGCACTGATTGAGCCTCATCTCACATATGGTATATTAGCATGGGGAGCTGCATGTTCCTCACATATCTATAATTTAGATGTTTTTCAAAAAAGTATTCTAAAAATGATATTTAAAAAACCGAAACTTTATCCCACTGAAAAATTATACGCAGATGTTCGAATGTATGATATAAAACAGCTAAATTTCTTACACAGTATCACTCACTACCATAAATTTGTAAACACCGACCAAAAAATTAAACATAATCATTATACCAGGTACAAAATTCGTGGCACAGTAGTTCCTCAACCGCATAAATCTATAATGCAGCGATCATATCTCTATTTAGCGCCTAAATTTTATGAAATTATACCTAAAGACTTAAAAGATTTACGTTTCGGAAATTGTTTCAAAAGAAATTTAAAAAAGTGGCTACATTCTACAGGGTTATCCAAATTAAGTGTCCACCATTAGTAACTTTGTTATTAGTGAAAATACAAAGTTGTTTGAATTAGCAAACTAGTAGCATTTTTAACGCTGGTAAAAATGAGAAATAAAAAAAAACAATTGAGAGTCGTTATTTTGATTTTTTTCGGTAAAATAACATTTTTTTAAATGGAAACCCCTGTATATTATATTTTTTTCTGTTAAAGCATCAAATTTTAAACAAAAAAGCTTACAATAACTTTTCTCCTGGGTTACAAATTGTTGAAGTTATGGCCTCCAATCTGAAACAATTAAATTGTATCGACAAACTTTATTTTCAACATCAACTTATAATCTTACAAAATACAATAACAATTTTTTTTAAAGAAGATGCTCGAAAACACCACCTTGTTCTTCAATACATTTTTGGGCACGTTTTTCAACTGCTCGAACTGTCTTAAGTATGGTCCTACCATCTATCTGGGTTATCTTTTCCCTAACTGCAGTCTTTAACGCGTCAAGGTTATCGTACCTTCGCTTGTAAATTTGGTTCTTTAAGTAACCCCACAAGAAGTAATCAAGTGGGTTTAGATCTGGTGATCTGGGAGGCCACTGTATTGGGCCATTTGTTCCTATCCACTGATCATTAAAAGTAGTACTTAGAAAATGATAAGTACCTCTGGAGTTGTGGGCAGGTGCGCCATCTTGCTGAAAATGCAGATGATGTCTACTTATAAGATCCAATTCGTCTAAGAAATTAGTCAGAATTTCTGACATAAATTCCACATATCTTTCACCAGTTAGGGTTCCCTCATAAAAGAACGGGCCAACAATTTTTGAACCAATTATACCGCACCAAACGTTGAAACTGAAACGGACTTGTGGGCCTCTTGGATGTACTAACAAAAGATTTTCTCTTGACCAATAATGGTGGTTTTTTTCTATTAAACATTCCAGAATTTGAAAAATTTGATTCATCTGTCCATAAAAGGTAACGAAAGTTATTTACATTTTGGCGACAGAAGCAAGGATACCAATGGCAAAAAACATGTCTTCTCTCTGGATCCCCTGCCAAAAGCGTTTGAACTGGTCGGTACTTATACGGAATAAATTTGTATTTTTTTAAAATCCTTTGAACAGTACCATAACTGAAATTAGAGTCCTTGAGAATATCTGCTATTGAATTCTCACGATAAGCTTCAAAATATCCAATAACTGCAATTTCCGTGGCCTCGCTTATTATGAATTCTTTTTTTGCCCTTGTTTTAGCAAAAACATTTTCGTCGCCCCTAAATTTTCGATAAAGTCTCAGAAAATATCGTTCATACGGTTGAATGCGAGCGGGATATAATTCACTGTAGTATTCTCTTGCTCTCAAGGAGGATTTTCTGCACACTAAATAGCATTCTAACATATCACACTTTTCTTCATGGGAGAACATTTTTCTTTAAATTAATGACACAATAAAGCTTATAAACAAGTATTTACACTAATGTTTGACATTATTTGATTTTATCATTGTTTTCCAAAGCCTTCTAGTTGCGAGTATGTCCAGTTTAACAATTTGTCGCTTATCTTAATGCTGTCAAATCGCGAACGCCATGTTGTTTTCATAGCCGTCTTAATATTATAATACTGCAAATAATTAAAAATATTTATCGTTATTTTGACTTTATTTTTGACTTTAGCGGAAAAGTCATTATGAACTTTTTTGTTTAAAATTTGATGCTTTAACAGAAAAAAATATAATATACAGGGGTTTCTATTTAAAAAAATGTTATTTTACTGAAAAAAATCAAAATAACGACTCTCAATTGTTTTTTTTTATTTCTCATTTCTACCAGCGTTAAAAATGCTACTAGTTTGCTAATTCAAACAACTTTGTATTTTCACTAATAACAAAGTTACTAATGGTGGACACTTAATTTGGATAACCCTGTATATCTAGGACTGAAATTCATAAACTCATAAATACGAACATCAACTAAATACATAATCTACTGTAGCTAATTTTTGTCCTTTTTTGTCATTTGCATTCTACAGTTTCAACTTAAATTTATTGGTCCATGTACAGGCGATGCCTTCTATTGGGCCTGTTTTGATTTTATATTTATTTACTCATATTGTTTGTTATCTTTGTACATTGGAGTGAATAAATATTATATTATTATTATTTATCAATCCTAGCGGTCCTAATAAGGATGATCGAAAACTGTTATCAAATTATTGCATTATCATCGGTCCTTGACACGTGTGCGAAGTTTCAATCGGGCGCGGATCCGGGGGGTCATGGGGTTATTTTCTAATAAACACTGGCAGCACTGCATCCGTCAACTTTGTTTTAACTGTAAGCTCATAGATGATAGCGCAAGACTGGTTGCCTATGCGGTCAGCCTGAAGTAGGAGAAACTTAAGCGGTGAGCAAATTTAATAAAAAATACTTTTTGACGGACCAGTGGCGGATTTAAGGAAAAGATCCTATATGCACGGGGGGGGGGCAGTGGTATGATCGGGGACAGACGGCAAATAGTGCGCACTATAACTGTTTTGCGAATAACATAAATTACTGCAATTATTGGCAAATAAAATACGGCAATGGAAACTTTGAAAGTTGCATGATAACTCTTGTGCATAGTAGAGTTTAAAAGTTAGCACGGATGCTACCGATAAGTAAAGGGCGTCAAGTCAAATTTGGAGTGCACGCTATTTATAGGATTTGCATAAAATTATAAGTAAAAAAAACAAATATGATCGATAATTGTTGTCATGCTTGCCGTGATTAATATTTCATCGAATACAAACTTGGTGAACAACACTAAAGTACGTTAAATAACGTACATTACAACAGGACATACGTATAATGGGCACTATTTGCGAAAGTGATATTCTCCACATTTATCGCTATTTGCAAATTAATGACGGCAACTGAGAATAAAAAAATTAGAGAGACC